GAATGGACACAGGCCGCGGCGGCGTGGACAGCGAGCCCTGTTCAAAATGAACAAGATCCGCTGTTGGGCATAGTACCCATTCTTTCAGTACCCATCTCGTGCGTGCAGAGAGGAGGCCTTCTGAGACGTCCAGGGCGACCCCCCCGCGGCGCCCGCGCCGACGATAGGACCCGCTCCCCTGTGGGGCACCCGCTGTGGGCCCGGGTCCGCTTGCAGGACGGCCCCCGGGCCCGCAGGCGGCCGCGCGAGGCCGAACTCGCTCCTCGATCTCGACTTCGATTTCGATCGACGAGCCTCGACCTCGATTTCGATCGATCCTCGATCGAGGATCCTCGATTTCGGTCGATCGGCGATCGGTCGATCGATCGACGATCGATCGATGCTCGATCGATTCCGAGGCCTCGGGGGGGGAGGGGGACACGATCCTCGAGCGATCGATTGACGACGGCGGCGACGGGACCGTCGCCCCCCGACGACCCGCTCCCTGGGGCAATTGCTCGTCCCAGATCCGCTCGGGATGGCCCCCCGAAGCCGGGGGGAGAAAGAACAAACCTCGATGCAGCCAACCCGTATCAAAAGGACGCACGATCAGGGTGCACAAGGGCCTCGGAAGGCCATGCCGACGCTCTGCGAGTGGGGCGCGGCCAGCGAAAGTGGCACAGGATGGGCCGAAGGGTAAAGGACGCAAGGGTAACCTTGGAAAGCTGCTAATCCTTACTAGCCCTGAACGTTCTTTGGACTCCCCCAACAGGGGGTGAATAGCTATTGTTCGGCGGCCTTATTGAAGGACTGGGGTCCCACCAACAGTTGGCAACTAATATTTTTTCAGCGGCACACGCAGCGAAACAATGAAGACGACGACGGGAGGGGGAAGAGGAGGAGGAGGAGGCTGAAGGCTCAAAAGACAGTCGCCGCCTGCGCACAGACACTGCTCTACCTTCGCATCAAGTGAAGAACGCGGTTCAGGGTACGGGAGCTGCCCCTTGACGTCGGACGACTCGCGGCCCAACCGAACCGACATGGTTCATTGGGGCACGAGGCCACCCTGTCGAAACGATTGGCATTGCGCACTGGGGCCTGCCCAAAAACCCCAAATGTGACTGGACACAAGGCCCGACCGAACTTACGTGGCACACGCCACCACCTCTCACGGAAAACGCAAATCCCTGGGGGCCAGACCACATGGGAATAGCCACCCAGGCGCCTGGCTGACGCCGCCGCCAGCAGGGCAAGGCTGAGACCGAGGGCCGTGCTACACCCAACGACGAGGCCGCGCGCAGCGCAAGTCCCGCCGATGCAGGTTTCGCAACGTCCACCCCCAAGCCCAATGCCCGCTGCGTTCCGCACAGAGACCGAAGGCCGTGCTACACTCAATGACAGAAACCTTGCGGCACCCCGCCGATACAAATTTCGCAACGTCCACCCCCGACCCCTGTGGACAAAAACGACCGGTAGCCGGAGGAGGAGGAGGAGGAGGAGGAAGAGGTGGAGGAGGAGGAAGAGGAGGGAGGGAGGGAGGGAGGGAGGGAGGGAGGAGGAGCACAATGAGGAGGAAAAGGAGGAGGAAGAAGGAGGAGGAGGAGGAGGGAGGGAGGGAGGGAAGGGGAGGAGGAGGGGGAGGGAGGAGGAGGGAGGAGGAGGAGGAGGAGGAGGAGGAGGAGGAGGAGGAGGAGGAGGAGGAGGAGGAGGAGGAGGAGAAGGAGGGAGGGAGGGAGGGAGGGAGGGAGGGAGGGAGGGGGGGAGGGGGGAGAGGGAGGAGGAGGAGGAGGAGTAGCTGGGAGTAGCTGAGAGCGGACCACTGTCCTCGGCCCCGCACGGGGCCGCAACAAAAGGAGGGTCAGAAAACCCAGTCCTCCTCCTCCTCGAACCCCTCCCAGGCGGGCCGCCCCAGTCCTTGCCCACCAGCTGGTGGGTCTCCGCTGAGCTCGGCAGCGTCGCCGCCTGGGCCTCCTCTTGTGGGAGGACGGGATGGAGGAGGAACCTGCGGCGCTCGGGACCTTCCATCCTCCGACGAGACGACCGCAAACGACTCGACCAAAATCAGTTGGTCTCGCAGCGCCATGGCCGCCAGAATCGGCCTGGGGGGCCCTTCGCGTCTCGGGAAGAGGCCCTTCGAAAGACGTCTGAGGTTCTCGGTCCCCTTCGGGGGCGGTCCTCGACAGGTGCTCTTGAGAGAACGCGGGTCCGTCGTGGCATAAAAGCCACAGCCCGTGCAACATGTGAGGAACCAACGCGGAAAGAAACTGCAGCGATGGCTCGGGTGGATCTCGAGCGCCGCTGTGCGCACTGCAAGCGGAGCCACAGGGCAGGCCTCCACTCCTAAGGTGGAGGCACTGGCACACGGGGTCGCAGCAAACGACTGTATGCTGGCGTCGGCCACCACCATCTGACACTTGACACACACCCACTTCACCTCGACACGCCTCAACTGGTGGGCCGACAGACTCAGCAACCTCTCGAGCTTGGGAAGGCGGGCGACGCAGGGCTGGCGGGAGAAACGTGCATCATCAGCCGCAGTCGCATCGATCATCGCACGACGGGCACGCCTACGGATGAGCGAGGCGGTGGCGTCGACACGTTCCACGTCAGGCCACTCGCCAAGCAAAGCTGTCTCTCCCGCCAACTCCGTCGCCCTCCCAGCCCAAATGTCAGCCGACGAGTTCCCACAGACTAGAAACAAGTCCCACTGGGAGCATACTAACTCAGAAGATTCATCTCTGTGAGACGCGGTCCAGATCACCTGAATCTTCTCCCTATCAGCTCGAGACTGCCACAACACTCTCGCTTCGGTCCAAAGGTCCTCGTTTGGTCCCGACGGTCTAGGCTCCCTAACGCGGGATCCCCAGGTCCAAAACAAGGGAAGGTGGTCGGTCACAAAGGTAAACGGGCCTCGGACCTCCGCTAACGCCAAGACAAACGCAAAACTTCAGCACGCGGGACAGTCTGTTTCTCGCCCGCCAAGGGCTTCGCCAAGGCAGCGACAATATCAAAAGCCTGCTGAGACCTGGACAAAACAACGATGGCGGATCCGCAACGCCGACGTCGTGGGTCATCGCTGTACTTCCCACCAGATCCGTCTCCAAAAATGAAGCAACGACCTTCCCACTGGCCTTCCGCGAAACTGGCGGGGCTCCCAAATCGCTCCTCGACTCCCCGAACCTGCCCCTCATCAAAAACAGGGTGGGTGAGGCGCGAGGGAGGGAGGCCCCGAAGCCAGAGGGAAGGTTCGGCCTCGTGCGACGAAACTGCAAGCGGCACCAGACAATCTGTACGAGAGTAATCCTCATGCTCAGTATTTTTCTCACACTCCCAGATGCGATGGAAGAGAGATTCAGCGCTTTTGCCGCAGCGGACACAGGTGGCCTCCGCGAGGTAGCCCTGGGACAGCATCCTCTGTCTGGTCCACTGGCCACCACTGACGACAGTGACGTTTGCAGCCGCCAGCGCTCGGTCTCCATGGCGCTCCAGCCTGCGTTGCTCTCGCCAGAAGGGAATCAAATCCGCGCCCTCAGCAAGGCCCTGTCCCGCCTCATGCTTGGCAGCCTCACGCCACAGTATCCCACGGATATCCGCCGCCAGGTCCTCGAACAGAGCCTCGAAGGAAGCCGGAGCGGAGAAACCTGCATCGTGACGCGAGGGAATGTCCCATTGATCAACAGGCTCGGAATCGCACTCCGTAGGTCGAAGCCAAGACGTAGCAGCAACAGGGTCCCAGCCAGTATCCATCAGCGTGGCCTGGACCGTGGCAATGGGCTCCCGCACATAAGCCCAGCGACGTAACGCAGCCTTCTGCAGTCTCTCACGTATCGACGGCCAGGCTCGAATCACTCGATCATGGAGATCAGGATGTCGCAGCCATAGTGTAACCCACTCACGCACGACCTGCAACGGGATCCCCAGCGCAGGGTCAAGTACCGCAGGGTCACACGCCAATGTAGTAGTTAGGCAGCGTCCTCTCGCTCGTCCTCCAACCATCTTTCCAGCTTGTCGCCTCATACGCATCAAATCTGCCTTGCTCATGCCAAAGTCTTGATGGCCATGCAACGCCCGAGGGACTGCACCAGTATTCCACAACCCACAAGATATTCTCGTCAGCGCACCAACTCGCCTCAACCTGTTAATTTTCCCAGCACGTCGCATGGCAATCCTGATCCGCTTCTTGGCCTTCAGCACTGTGCGCTTCCGTCCAGCAGCCGCATCCAAGCCAAGGTCCACTGCCTCATTCACAGCCTGAACAGGGAAACCGCGAGCTCTCAGTGCGCGAGCCGTCCGCTTGGTCACCGCAGGGTTTGAGCCAATAAGTACGGTCTTGTCCGAAATGACCATGCGCTGATTCTCGAGGCCCTCTTGGAGGTCCATGGCGGCAGCTATCATGGCCTGCCCCACCGACGCGCGACTACCTTCGCACCTGGCCGTGGTGTCATCCACAAACGTCCAGAGCCCCGTCGCAGGGGACCGCCGATGAACGAACTCCAGGATCGGATGCAAAAACAGCTTGGCCAGTCCCACTCCACGTGGGGATCCCGCCGCAATTGATCTTGATGGTAGAACCGGGCGACTCAATACAGCTCGTTCCTGCAGGTATCTAGGCGCCAAGAATTGTTGAACTTCCAAGGGAGTCAAAGCCGCAGGGTAACCAACCTTCCTGGCAAGCCGCAGAAGCATTAGCAGGGAAACAGAATCATAGAACTTCTGGATGTCCAATTGCAGCGTGAGTGAGGTGACTCCCAGCTTCACACCTGACTCATCCAAGCACGCTCTGACCAGGCCAGCACGCAACGCCGACGATCCACGAATGGCCGTGTCCCAGTGGTCCGAAAGTGTCTGCGACCACGTCTCGCTAAGGGTAGCTCGGCATTTGCCCGCAGCTTTGGGAGTAGAGCCGTCATGCCGAGGATGCGGTCTCCTCCACGAGGTTTCGCCGCAATATCACATCGTGTGACAGAGCGCTGCCTAGGCCACGCGCACTCACGTTCACGCAGTGAGAGAATGCGTAACACCTGCTCTCGCGCTGGATCTGGCAGCCGTCGTACGTTGCCTGGTGCAATCATATCAAAGCCCAGCGCCTTCGCATCACTCGACTTATTCAACGCGTAATCCAACTGCGCGAGAGAAATCGGCTCCAGTTCCTCCTCAGCAGCTTGAGCCGAAAGGGTGGCGAGGTACTCCGTGAGCTGGCTCCGCGTGTCCACAGGGTCCGTCCAGATGCCCTCCCAGTGCCGAGCCTTGTGCTCCATGACCGTGTCTGGGTCCGCAATCTGGTCAGCCGAGTTCGGAATCATGATGACCGTGGGCGCAGGTGGCTCCTTGACATGGCGATGAAGGGCACCAGGCTTGCGCTTCCACATCTCCTTGGCCCACAAGGTAAAGCTCCTCCGCTGCGTCGCAAAGCCACGGGCCTGCGCCAATGCATGGTGCTTCTCAAACCTGGCCAACAACGCCTGCACCTGCTGTATCTCGAGCGACCCCAATCGGCCACCAAGCTCATACACATCCTGGCGCTCTATCTCGAGAACCTTCTTGCCAACGACCTCATCCTGGGGCAACGCCTTCAGAGTGCTCAGCTGGGCCTCCAAGTCTTTCAAGCACTTGCGTTGCTGACGAAAATCTGTGTGGTGTAGTCGTAGCGCCAGGTACCTACCCACCAGAGTTGTGCACGCTCCCCAATGTTCAGCAGGCGCAAAGCGCGTGCGCGCCCGCCCAGGCGAGGGCCGCGCCCTCGTGAGCCGAGAGCCCAAGCCGCACGCCCTTCCAAGGTACGAGTCGCGCATGTCGTCCGTGACGTCACTTACCTCCAAGGTGGCGTGCTCCATCGCTGTGACCCACTGCGCGTACTCTAGGGTGACCTGGTCCACGGCCTGCCACTGCTGCGGGTTGCCGTACGTGAGGTCGCCGACCGTCTGCTCCATCTCCTTCGTCATCGTCATCGTCGCCCCAGCCTGCACAGCCGAGGTGCTCCTGTTCCAGACTTCGAGTGGGATGAGGTACGGGGCTGGCGTGGTCTCCACCTCCATGTGGTCCGCGAGCTCCACGTGGGCCTCCTGTAGGTGCTCGTCCAATTGCGCAGCCCTCCTTTTCTGCATCTCCAACTTCCGCATCGAGGTCTTGCATGTGGGGTCTGGGGCTGGGTGTGGCCGTGCAGGTAGCGGGAGTGGCCGCGGGACTGCCGCAGCACGGTACCGCCGCGCCTGTGCCATGCCTCCCACGTGCAACCGAAGTCCACAATGCGTCTTCCACGGCACTCGGTGCGTCGCCTCGGGGGAGAGGCGCGGCGCCAGATCACTCCTGCAGATGCCGTAATCAATGAGGCTGCCTCGACCTTTGTCACAAGTGATGTCCACATCTGGCCGTAATAGCTGGCCTCCAATTTTGGAAACGAAATCCTCCTTCTGCATGCGCTGAAACGGGATGTTCCAATCGCCCAGAATGACCCATGGGGTCCGTGAGGGAGAGCACAAACGAAGCCAGTGCACTGATCTTCGCCGCGTTGACGCCGACAAGGCCATCTTTTGGAACCAGGTAGGCTACAATAACCACCAAGTTGCCTCCCCGTAAATGAAGCGTGGCCGCGGAGAAGCCTGAGAACGGGTCCCTGTGGCCCTGCTGGTGCACCAGCTCCCGCACCGAGTCGAAACCTGTGGCCGCCACATGCGACCGAATAGCAATGAGCTCTCCCCCCGATGACCCCGGCTGAGAGCGTCGCGTCGGCGTCGCAGGTGTGGCCATCAGTCGCCATCCATCAAGCGATAGTTCCTGCTTCACCTTCGGGATCTGTTCCTTTGTCACGTGCGTCTCGCGCATCATGAAAACGTCCATCTTGTTGCCTGCCTCGTTGAGGTACTTGTGGGCCTGCGGGCCCCACTTCGTGATGTTGCCGAAAGTGATGCTAAACGCGAGGCGCAGCATCAGGAGGCTGGCCCATGTCGTCGTCGTCCTTCTCAGCGTGCGTCTGCGCAGCCGCGGGGGCAGCCGAGGAAGCCGGGGCTGCCGGGGTACCCGCGCCTCGGGCCTGACGGAGGCGGGCCTTCGACTGCTCCTTGACGCGCTCGATCGCGATCTGCTGCTTGGGCGCGTCCACCGCCGACGGCTCCTGAGCCGCAACCTTGTCCACTTCCTGCGACTGCACCGCCCCAGGGACTGCGGGCACGTCTTCCTCCTCGGCACCGCCCACCATGCGCCTTTTCTCCAAGTGGGCCTGCTGCGCCGCCTTCGCCTGCTTCGCCAACTCATCGAACTCTTTGTACTGGGCGTACGCGCTGCTGACCAACTCTGCCAATGACTGCATGTCCGCCTTGAATTTGAGCAGCTTGGCGCGATCCTGGGCATCGTAGCTGTCCAGCTCCTCGAAGAGTGACTCGTCAACCTCGGGGGCCTTCCAGCCTTGCACAGGTGGGACGGCCTGTGCTGGGACCGACCTCGACTGCGCGTAGTACTCGTCAAGGACGCGCTGGTGGTCTGCCTCAGCCTCTGCCATCTTGAGGGCCGCCGCGTCCTGAAGGGCCTGCGCCTCCTGGGCCTTCTGCTGGGCAGCCAGCAGCGCCGTGGTGGCCGCGTCGAGGTCCCGCTGAGCCTGCTCCTTACGGTTGACAGCCTGCTTGAGGGCAACCGTCTGAGGTAAGTCACGCTTCGGCTTCTTTGGGACCGCATCCACGACTCGACCTTTGAAGTCCCGCAGCGCCTGAAGATCCACTTCGACCTTGTAGCTGCCTATCTTTTCTTCGAACTTCTTGATGAGACTATCAAGCTCCTGCTCTGGGGTGAGGCGGGCTCGGTTCGACGTCCACCACGGCGGTCTCTCCCCTCGGGTCTCCTGGTCCCCGCAAGACCGCCAGGCAGGTGAATCAATGACGTCACCACACCGATCGCACCAGCCCCCCGATCGCTGGAGCTTCCAGTCGAAGACCCATCCTGAACACGAGCCACATACCGTGTATGGGCGCATCCTCGGCATGTCTCTGACAAAACTGGCGCGGGGGCCCAGATCCCGCAGTGAAGGCCGAGAGACACTGTCAGGCTGAAACGCCTGCCTCGCACTGGAACCTCCCTCGCGCTCAGAGGTCGCCCCGAAAGACTCGCGGTCGTCGGGACGGTTCATAGCCTTGAGCCAAAATGGCTACGGAAGAGGAGGAGGAGGAGGGGGAGGAGGAGGAGGAGGAGGAGGAGGAGGAGGAGGAGGAGGAGGAGGAGGAGGAGGAGGAGGAGTTGGAGGGAGCGAGGGAGGGAGGGAGGGAGGGAGGGAGGGAGGGAGGAGGGAGGAGGAGGAGGAGGAGGAGGAGGAGGAGGAGGAGGAGGAGGAGGAGGTTCAGGCCCAGTCCTGTCTGCCGCCGACTCAAAACCTTCAGCTCCTCCATCGATCGATGGCCGATGGATCCCCGATCGAGCGATCGACGGCCGACCTCGCCGCCGTGGCCCCCCCCAGCGCGGACCCCTCCCGCCCCGAGGCGGCCTCCGACGGGCTGTCGCCCGCCCCGCCGCCCGGAACCGGGGCGGCCACCTCCGCAGGACGCAGGGGGGCGAGGGGGAGGAGGAGGAAGAGGGAGGGAGAGGGAGGGAGGGAGGGAGGGAGGGAGGGAGGGAGGGAGGGAGTGAGGGAGGGAGGAGGAGGAGGAGGAGGAGGAGGAGGAGGCGGAGGAGGAGGAGGAGAGAGGAGGGGAGGAAGAGGAGGAGGAGGAGGAGGAGGAGTAGGAGTAGGAGGAGGAGGAGGAGGAGGAGGAGGAGGAGGAGGAGGAGGAGGAGGAGGAGGAGGAGGAGGAGGAGGAGGAGGAGGACGCAGGGGCGAGGGGGCAGCGCCGTCGTCTGAGGTCGGGCGTGTTTCCTTACACGAGGAAAATCCAAAAATAATAAAAAGATACTCTGGGGACTCTTTTGCGTTATTTGTTTGGCCATGTTTGGGTATTCTTTGGCTACTGTTACACTCCGTCCAAAATCCGCCTGTAGGGGGACATGCCCGACCTAACCGTCGTCGAACGTCCCCAGAGATCCGACGCTCCAACAGAAACGGGAGCGGCGGGAATTTGGCGGTTTTCGGCCCATGCGGGGGCCCTCGCCGGGCTTCGGGAGAGTGAAGAAAGCACTCGGGACGAAGAACTGGCCCCTCTGGATCCATAGGATTCCAACAGGATTTCTGAGGACCTGAACGGGGTCCCAAGGATTTCTCAAGAATTTCTAAGGATCTGAGCGGCCCCCCTAGGATTCCTGAAGGATTTCTAGGGATCTGAAGTGGATTCCTCGGACTCCGAAGGGATTTCTGAGGATTTGTAGGACCCAAGCGTCGAAAGAATTGGAGCGGCCGGTCGCCTGGGGGGGGCGAGGGGGCAGCGTCGTCGTCGAACGTCGGACGAAGCGCCACGCCGTTCTCGCGAGTCGCGGGTGCCAGACGAAGCCAGGACGAGGATCAAATCGGGTGGAGATACATCGGGAATCTCTGAGCTCCGGCGGCTCTGGAGGACGTCTCGGGCGCCGCGCCCGGGACCCTCTGAGAGCGCCCTGGAACGCTCTGACTGACTGACTGACTGCAGAAGCCGCGCCTAGACGGTGCATCGGCATTGATATATGTGAAACGAAGGCCATGCAAGTTTATTTGCACGTGCATTTAAATATACCAGCATTCTGAATTGAATTGATAACGTGTATTTCGTTGGCATTGGTACATGTGATATAACTGCATTTAAACATGTGGAACGTGGAATTCTGAATGCAAGCGCGCTGGGATGCAGCCACTGTGCATGGACCAGTGCTGGGCGGCGGGTGGCGTTACGCTCGGAAAGGAAGCTTGCAGGAGAGGAGGGAAGGAGGAAGACACTGGATGGTGGCAATTGATGCCTTCAGCGCAGATTCACCGATTTCATACATGTACTATGCTGGAGCGCTCTGGAACGGATTTATCCTCGTCCCAGCGTGTCCCCCTGCAGGCTGATTTTGGACGAAGAATTAAAAATACCCCCAAACTGATAGAAACATTGTCCCCAGACTATTTTTTTGGGACTCACTTTGAAGATTCCTCCCGTAGAGGGACAGACCCGACTTGGTCCCAGCCCCGTCAAAAAATCGTTCCCATAATATTTTTGGACTCGCTTTGAAGAATCCCCCCGCAGAGGGACAGGCCCGGCTTGGTCCCAGCCCCGTCAAACAAATCGTCCCCTGACTATTCTGTTGACTCTCTTTGGAGATTCCTCCCGCAGAGGGACAGACCCGACTTGGTCCCAGCCCCGTCAAAAAATCGTCCCCAGACCATTTTTTTGACTCTCGTTGAAGATTCCTCCCGTAGAGGGACAGGCCCGACTTGGTCCCAGCCCCGTCAAAAAATCGTCCCCAGACCATTTTTTCACTCTCATTGAAGATTCCTCCTGCAGGGGGACAAGCCCGACTTGGTCCCAGCCCCGTCAAACAAATCGTCCCCAGACATTTTTTTGACTCTCGTTGAAGATTCCTCCCGTAGAGGGACAGGTCCGACTTGGTCCCCGTCCTGTCAAACAAATCGTCCCCAAACCATTTTTTGGCTCTCGTTGAAGATTCCTCCTGCAAAGGGACAGGCCCGACTTGATCCCAGCCCCGTCAAAAAATCGTTCCCCGACCACTTTTTGACTCCCGTTGAAGATTCCTCCCGTAGAGTTATCTTGCTCCCATTGTACTTGAAAACCACATCCCAGGAATACATTCGAGCATCCGGATCAGTGTCGAAAGAGTGTCGAAACAGTGTCGGACGAGTGTCTCCCCGGGCGGCACGTGAACATCCTCGAATTTCGGTACCTTTTTTGGTGCTCGAAATTCTTTCTCGTGGTCGAGGCGAAAGTCGGTTGGAACATCCTAACCGTGGAGGGACAAGCCCGACCTTGCCGTCGCTCGATCGTCCATTTCCCGTGCATTCTTCGGTTTCGTGCGTGTTTTTTTTTTGCTCGATGGTCCAGGATGGTCCTCGAGTGTGCTCGCCGAGAAAAAATGCACACGTCCGAGCGATGCCAAGCGACTTGGTCCCAGCCCCGTCCGAGCACGCCGGGTGCAGCGTCGCGCCGCTCCTCGCGTGTGTGGGGGGCTGAAGTCTGCGTGGCGCGAGAGCACGGCAGGCTCGTGTCGTGACGGCCTCGGCGTTGGTCTCTGGCCCCGCGGGGATCCTTCCGTCAGTGTTGAGCTACGCTGTCAAAGCCTCGCTCTCCTGGGGCTTTGCTGTGCTCCTGCTCGTTAACTTGTGTCACGCGTGCGGAGCTGCACTGTCGATGCCGCGCTTTCCTGTGGCTTTGCTGTGCTCCCGCTCGCAAAGCACACCGCCAGAGGCAGCGGAGAGCTTCAGAGGTCCACCTGCAAATAGTTCTGACACCTTGAACGATCGGCCGTTTCCGAAACGTCCAAATCGTTCCACATCGAACGATTCTGGGTCGCCCGCGGCGTTCAAAATTGAACGCCGCTGGCGGGGTCGCCGCCGGTCGACACGACACGAACCTACCGTACCACTTCCGCCGCCAGCCCGCCCCGCCCACGAGGGGGGGGCAGGCCGCAACGTGCCGAGCGCACCGCGGACAACAAGCCAGCAGGCGGTGGCCTTAACAAAGCATGGCTGAACCTAAACGTTGTTTTTTGTTTTTTTCCGTGCTGTTTCGTTTTGCTCTACCTGTTTTCCGGTACCTCCCTACCAAATCGAAAAACAAAACGCAGCCGAAGTCCAGCAAAGCAGCGTTTAGGTCCAGCCCTGGCGGACAAAAAGCCAGCAAGCGGTAGCCAGAAGAGCAGGCAAAACGGGAGGGGAGGCACGGGAATCACGGGCGGCGAGCGTATCCATATTCACGCCCTCGCGGTCTGGATTCCGGGGCGCGATCCCGCGGCTACGCGGTCGCAAAGACACGTTCCGCGCGGAGCATCCGCAACGAAACGCTCCGAATCCGCTGGGTCGCGGACCATGGGCCTTGCCCGCGAGGCCGTCTATACGGATATGTTTTTCGCCAAGGCTGAAGGGAGTGTTCTTCATCCATCATAGCCCCCGCGGTTGCGGATTGGAGCGAAGGCAGCTGGGGAGTCGTCGGGAGTCTGCGATGCTCGGGCGGGGGGCCGTCGTCGTCGTCGTCGTCGTCGTCGTCGTCGTGAAGAAATCCATCGTAGGCGCCGATCTTCAAGACAGATTGCGCAAGGGGGCCGTCGCAGGCGCCGATCTTGGTTTCGAAACAACGAGGAGGAGGAGGAGGAGGAGGAGGAGGAGGAGGAGGAGGAGGAAGAGGAGGTGGAGGAGGAGGAGGAGTAGGAGTAGGAGGAGGAGGAGGAGGAGGAGGAATAGGGAGGAGGAGGAGGAGGATGAGGATGAGGAGGAGGAGAAGCAGGGGGAGGAGCATGAGGAGGAGGAGGAGGAGGAGGAGGAGGAGGAGGAGGAGGAACATGAGGAGGAGGAGGAGGAGGAAGAGGAGGAGGAGAAAGAAGACCACCGTAAACCCAAGAGTCGCCAACGATGTTGGAACAAACCCTCCCCCCTACAACGGTTCATTTCCGCCAACTGTTTGAAGACTCTGAAGCATGCCCAAAAAATGCTCTCGGGATTCCAACGCCACGGATCAACCTCAATCACTGTTGCGTCTTAACGATCCAGGATCGTGCCAGAACGCCATTCCTGGGACTTCAACACCGCGAATCATGGTAACTGTGCGCCCTCATACTCGTGAACACTTCCAAAACACCATTCCTGGTACGTCGGTCATGGGAATCCGTGAAACTCTTGCAAATTTTGAAAAAAGGATACGCGCGGCGCTAAAGCGAGAACCACATTTT